TCTTTCATAATATCCAAATTACTAATTACTGTGTTCAGTTGATATTATCATATTTTGACAAGACATCATTTTAATTTATGAACTATGGTTACTGGTAATGATTTAAAATGTATGGAACTGGCTCAAGAGGTTCCATAGAATAATTTTAGTATGGTGCCTGGATATCATTCTTGGATATTTTGGTAAAGAAAGTGAGTGCTTTTTTACCTTGTCTGAAAAGTGTGCCTGAGGATAAAGTGAATAGTTTTGGCTTAATTCTATTTACAGAGGAAATCACAAAATAGCTGTATTTGTTAAATCTTAAATACAATATCACCACAAGCATTACCCAAGCCTTTCACACAATTTGAACAGAAAATTTTATTTGAGTTCCGCTGTTTCTCATTTGAAGTCCATGTACTCTACAAAAGTGCAATAACTAAACAACTTGCTAGTCATGCAATCAATACAAAAAGTACAGGGGTGATTTTCACTACATGTTAAGCAGAATTAGATATTTAGGGAAATTTTTACCATTTTAAAAATAGTATTTTCAAAGAAAACTAGATATTAGTTTATTTATTTAGTATTTCAGTCTTCAAGTCTATAACTTTTATTTTTCCACAATTTTCTTCTGAATTATTTGACCTTTGGTACTCACCTCTGAGAGTCTTGGCACAAGAAAATAAATGAACAACTTGTTCTCAAAAGTTAGTTCATAAAATTTGAGAATTTGTGTTAGGTTTCACCCTACTTGCATAATGATGTGTCTCTGCATTAGAAATTATTCTAAAAATTTTAATATATTGTCTTAAAGATAACACATTGCTATAACGACAATAAATATTTGTTTAACTATTATGTATCAATTGACTCTGTCATCAAACATGGTCAAGTATTTATAAAAAACATTCTTTAAATTTTAACTTTTTTCCAAAGAATTATTTTAAAACTGCCTCCCTTAAAGATATATTTTTTATAGACTAAAACTTTTAGATTCTAAAATAGCTCCACCTATGATTACTTTATTGAACTAATCAGAAATTATAAATTGATACACTGACTAGCTTTTGTGTGCATTTCACCAATCCTATGGTAAGACCTATGGACCAGTTAAGGTTTTCTTTCATTGTCTAGCATATGGGATCAATATGGTTGTACTATATATCCCTAAACGGATCTTTAAAGTAATTTGTGTGATCCTCTTTCTCTCTTAGCACTCATTAGAAATCCTAAAACTTTAGAATACATTGCTGAAAGTGACTGTCCTCAACAGAAGACTCCTAGCTGGAAGGAAATAGGAATAGTTGCACTTTGTTTAAGGATATTTCTATTGCACAAAAGATATGTGCTTATTTGTACCGGGATTATGCCCATACATGTGCATAGTGTAATATGCTGTGTTGTGATACTACTCTCTGATAAACTATTTATGTTCATATAATTTAATTAGGAGATCCATTGTTTACCTTTTAATAAGTATTCCTTTAATTTTGAAATGCAGGTAGTCTAAGTATTCCAGTTATTGTATTTATGGCAGTCAAAAATACATTTAAAACTTCAATTATAAAGGATAAGAATAGCTATGTGATTGTGTGTAGTTGAGATTCCATAGTATATGCAAGGTCATGAGTCTACTTCCAGAAATATTCATATACATATACATACACATATACATATACATATATATATTCAGTGTAGTCAAACTAATAATGTTTATCACAATATAATTTTATATTATTTTTATATTTTGTAAGAAAAATTATACCTGAATTATAAAACACTTCAGAATATGAAAAATATCATGTTACTAAAATCAATTAAAGGAAGTTAGTGAGAATATTTGATGTGTAAAGGAAGCTTTCAGCCTAACTTCAGTTACATAGCCAGGACCCACTATCTTTGTGGAAGAAGAGACCCCACTTTCAGAAGTTGTCCTCCTATGTCCACACATGGTGTGGATCAATTGTGCTGCAGAACATACATGTACAGTCATGGCAAAAAAGAAAAAGAAAAGAAAACCACAATCCCTTAAATGCAAATAATTACTTAAAACAAATGTGTGTTATTAAATGTATACTTCTAAATTATTTAAAACCATGTTAATATTACAGATAAATCATACTGTATACATAGTTATTGATACATTTTACATTTAATTATATTAATCAGAAAACTTCTGTTTTGCTCATTAGTCATGTAGACTGTAATATCTCAGAGGAAAAGCAAAAAATTTACTTTGATCCTAAAGAATCTAGAACAAGCTCTCAGGAGGCAGTGGCAGGCAGATCTCAATGTGTTTGAGATCAGCCTGTTCTACAAAGTGAGTTCAAGGACAGCCAGAGAAATGCTGTCACAAAAACCCAAAATTAAATAAATAAATACATACATTAAAAGAATCTAGGACAATGTGGATGGTTTTCAAAAATGTTATTGACTAAATATAAAATTAATTATATATAATAAATATATATAGAGAGATTATACTATATCATTTACTGCTTTCTTTTCTTTCTTCCAAACACTTTGCTCCCTTTCAAATTCATCTCCACTTTTTTTGTTTTACATGTCAATCCCAGTTCCCTCTCCCTCCCCTCCTCCTGCAACCCCCATCATCCTTCCAGCCTCCCACCCTCTAGCAATTTCCTTCCACATAGGGGATATCTAGAGTTTGTCATTTCACTCAGGGCAGGGTCCAGGCACTCCCCTAAGAGTCCAGGCTGAGAGAGCATCCCTCTTTGTGTTACGGACACACGAAGTCTGTTTGTATGCCAGGGATAAACACTGATCCACTTCCCAGGGCGCCATAGGTTGCCCAGGCCTCCTCACTGACTCACACATTTCAGGGTGTATGGATCAATCCCATGCTTGCCCCCCAGCTGTCGGTCTGGGGTCCAAGAGCTCTCCCCTGATCAGATCAACTGTCTCTGCTGGTTTTGCCAGCCCATTCTTTGCCAATTTGCTCATCGCTCCTCTCTTTCTGTCATTGGGTTCCATGGATTCAATTCATTGTTTAACTGTGGGTGTTTGCCTCTGCTTCCATCAGTCACTGGATGAAGAAAGACTTCAAGTTCATTATCAGGAATGCGCATTCGAGGTGGTCTCTCCACTATTGCTCATCTCCTCTTTTCATTGTATATATACATATATATATATATGTTCAGTTTGTGTAGTGTTGTTTGTTGATATTTTTTGTGTAATGGAGACATCCTAATTTACTGCATTCTCTACTGTGTTATTATAGTCTTAAATATATCACTTCATATAATGAAAATATTTCCAGTTTTAAAAATGTTTCATGCTGTTAATTCAAGTGTTTCTTCAGAGTACGTAAGAAAATTTTTAAGTGGAATATTTTTATTTTCTTGAATTTAAGGAAAATTGATCAGCTTGATTTTATTCATATATAAATCAATTTTCAATATTTAGGTTAAGGAAGCCAAAGTCTTTACTAGATTATCTAATGTACTTGGTTTCTTCTCGGTTATTATTTTGCTATTCAATAAAATTCCTTCACCAGTTAAAAATATCCAGAGCCTTAAAAGCATGTCCAGACCCATCACAACCTAATAATTTTTATCTATTCAGTTACCAAATAACAGAATTTAAATCATTGAGGTATCTCAGAACTGAAAAGCAAGTACTTTATTTATAGATCTTCATTTCTGTGTAAGATACAAACAAATAATATTGAAATAACACATGCATTATTTTTTCAGTGTAATAATGAATGCAAAGTATATGTTTGTGAGTGTGATTGCATGTGAATGTTTTCAAAGAATTTGATCCATCAAATGTGTAGAGTTTCAGTATTTTTTGAGAGGTCAATCTTACTCTAAATGTCTTTCAGAAGAACTGTTATTTTTCTTTTCTTCTTCAGCATGTGTTACTATTAAATTGCATTACTTCTTGATGAAACACATTGTGAGAGAAAAACAATGTGTTGTAATATTCCAATGACATTGAAAAATAACCAACAATCTTTATTTATTAATTCATGTGATTGTATAACAGTATTACTTCCATACTTTCATATTAATGTTTGTTTGTTTATGACTTACTATTATACTCTTAAAAATTCATTTCATTTTAAACTAACTCAATTTTAGTTTAACGTTGTTTTATGATAATTCAATCAATCTTTTACGCTTTAATCATGAAAGAACATTTTAAGTTATATAATAAAACACAGAAGTGATCAATAAATAAGTTTTCCTGTAGATTTTAACGTTTTACAAATAATAAATTGGATAGTCATCCATGCAGACATGATGAAAACCTAATATTTCATTAGTATAAACTATTCAGTTTAAGTTTAGAATTGATTACTAGTTCTTGAATATGTCACAGTGTCTTAAAATGAAAATGAATTAAAAATTTAATGTCTGTGTGCATCTATAATATTATTAAAATATGCTTGAATCATCCTCACAACTTCTAATTTTGTGAAATAATGGGTATGTATGGTTAAGAAGATCATATAGGAAACTTTTTTTAAAACAATAATAAGAACAATTCTAATAAACAACTCTTATGCTATTTTCTATTGTCTTTTGGCAATTATCTTTATTTTCATCACCAGAATTTGGAGACAGAGTACTGTAGGTACAATATAGCATAATTTTTCATAATATATTTCTAGTAGTAGTGTATATGAATGCAAATTAAGCTTTATTGGTGTCTTGTACTTTCCTTTCACAGCCAGTGAAAATAGAAATTACTAATTTCTTGCAAAACATTGATCTCATAACAAAGGGATAAAAGCACATAGCCATTATCTAAAGGAGAAATCATTGCTTGTTGAAAGTGCAACATATCACATGGACTTGGTGAAATCACTCATGCAAACTACAGAAGACAAAATAATGAATTTAAACCTTGTTTATGTTACTATATTCCCTGTGAAATGAAATTGAGAATATAATGGAATATAATATAACATATTATAACTTATATAATAATAAATATAATGGAAAGAAGAGAAATGCATATTGTTTAACTTTATACAAATCTCTTTTTAGCTTTCATTCCTGGACTAAAGAAAGGTACAGTAGAAATACAAAACTTCACTAAAATGCATGTTTCATTTCAAAATTATTTATTTATTTATTTATTTATGTTTGTTTGTTTTAAGAACTTTCTTCATTTCTCATAAAACATTATAATCTTAAGTGTTTATTTCAGATGTTAAAAATGAGCTTGTACTAAAAGAATATTCCTTAAGTCTGTTATTCTGAATAGTTTAATGATTTTCCAATTTCTTTTCATCAATATTTATGTAAAAAATTAATATTGTCATGTAATCATTTACTTGAGCTAAAGTCATTGCTTTCAAATTACCTATTGATTTAATTTTTCATTTCTTCCTCTGACCTGGTAAATATTTTCAATATTTTAGTGAATATGAAAGACAGAATTTCGTCATTTGGCATTTCTTTTATAATTAATGCTGTATACATATTTAAATAATAGTCTAAATTTCCATTCTTGTAAAGGTATGTAATGTACATTTTTATTAATATTTATTGTATAGATTATTTGTAAGGCTCCACTAATGTAAGTTTCATAAACTGATATTTTTAACATGAAATTTAAGCAACCAGTTAAAAGCTATATAATTTTAATTTTTCTCATGGAATTTTAAAATATTATTAGATATTCTGAATGCCTTGTATATGTTTATGCTCCTTTTTTATTTCACATTTGAAAATGTATTTCCTGTTGTTTTAATTGATTCCAAAACCTACAATTTATTTTTCTTTAAAAGTTTTAAAACTGAAACATCAGGCCTATCTTGAAAAAGTCAAAAGAAAATCTCTTGTCTCATAACCTTGTTCTAGTACTTCATTTCCGTTTCTGACTTTCTGATTTTCCTTCTCTGAACTTTGTTCAGAGAACTCGAATTTAGGTTGTCTAGATATTTCTGGGTGTGAGTAATATCCTGACCAAAGCCAATTTACCAAGTCTTACATTCTAGAATAGTCTAATGATTTAAAAGTCTAAGTTATTACTAAAACATCAAATCTCTTTAGTGTGTGTTCTTTTAGAATCACAAAGAAGTTTTATATATCTTATTCTAAAAGGGAAGGATTGGAGCAAAATTACAATCAGCAAACCCAAAATCTAGCAGTCTGGGAGTTCAAATGTCTGACACAAGGAAGAAATTCCTGGATGCAAAGAATCTTAAACACTTCACATCTCTATCCCATCCATAGCATTTCATATCTTTTCTTCTAGGTTCAGCTCTACTTTTTGTCTACCACCATCTTTGGTAATTACTCCATTCTCCTGGAATTTCCAATATGTTGGGCCTTCACTAAAACTCAGTCTTCATGATCACAAATATCAGGGAATCTTACCCTGCCCAACGGTGCTAAACTTTTCCTTCTAACCGTGACCCCAAGTATCCTACAACTTCCATGCCAACAAAACCATTACCATGTATGGGATGCCATGTTCAGCTATGGGTTTGGCATGTTTACTTTAGCTACTCTAGATCACAACTTCCATGTCCTCAGCCTGATGAAATCCTTCAAGATTTTACCTCATCTATGTCTCTTGTTAATGACAGTTGATATTTCAGTCCTAGGTAACCAATATTGATTGTCCCAAGAAAGCAAAGGTTTCTCTTAAGTGATGCTGATAATTTAGAAAGCACTGCTGAGTCTTCAGATCCATATGAGCATAAATCACACATTCTTTATGCAAAATATCACATGAATTATCCCAATAGAATCTTTGGTGAACTCTGAACCTTCCTTCTGAACCTATACAAACCAGGAATTTACATCTGCATTATTTAGCATTCTTAGCATACAAACAGCATTTGATAACATTTTAGCCTCTAAGTACTCAGGAAGGTTCCATAGACAGTATCAAAATATTCCACACAAGATATTCAAAAACAGAAAGCCTTAATAGTAAGGAAACTCACAGCAATTCCCCACTCCTAATCTCAATTTCTGTCCTAGTTATTTTTCTATTGCTGGGATAAACATCATAACCAAAAGCAACCTAGGAAAGTTTTTATTTGGCTTATATATCCAGGTAATATTGCATAACTGAGAGATGTCATGGTAGAAATTCAATGCAGGAATTTTGAACAGAAATCAGAGGCTTGAGTCTTGGCTTGCTCTCCATAGACTTTAACCACAGAAATGTTGTTACCCTACCAGAAGACACACTTTTAAAAGGAATATGACTCTCCCTTTCCCAGAACTTTTGATAATTCCTTAACTGAAGGTGGAACACAACCATCACAAGTCAATCCATTTAACAGTCTATTGCCTATTTAATCTAGATCAATCTTCACTTTTGTGTTGTTTCCTTTGTATTCTTGATAAAAGCCATGTATCAGAGTTATATTCTTTTGCTATTAATGCTGATATTAGCTCAAATTTTCTGGATTATCACTGCTTCTGTTGAGAATTTCCTTTACATTATAGAAGTTGTCCAGTTTTCTGGCATCTATTTGCTTGTTTATCTTCATACTCTGCACTTTGAGATCTATCTTATTTCCACATGTCATTTGATCTGTTGGAAAATTTTCTTAGGAAGTGGAAGAGGGAGTGATCTCACTTGATTTTATACATTTGGATATCAAATTTGTCAAAAGTTTTAATTGAAAATAGCCCTTTATCAAAAACATGTTCTTAACTTTGTTAAAAATAAGTTGGTTATAGATGTATGGGTTTGCTTGTAGGCTCTATATTATTTTCCATCGGCCTATGTGCCTGTGTCATTGATAAAATCAGCAGCCTGAGGCATTGTATGGCACAAAATAAAAACAGTCAGCAGTTTAAGTATGCAATCAAGAACACAAAAATGCCCTCTTTTGAAAAATAAGAACACAGATGAGTTTAGCATCAAAGTCTGTGATTATGTCTGGCATGGGGCTCACATCTCTCCTTTCCATGTTATTCTCATTCCCATGTCTCTCCAAGAGAGGGAAATCCCAAGGAAGAGAGGATATTCTTAGAAGCTCATTTTTCCCAAGAATTTAATTCTGTTATAAATTGATGTATAAAATGAATATCTATGTATAAATATATAAGTAGTTCTGGAGATGAAAAATTTACTAGGACATAAGGCATAATAACTCTGCACATGTTAGTTTGATGAAGATGTTCCAGAAACTATTTTTGTTGTGAAGCAACAAGTTGACCACTATAGCTTTATGTTTTATGTATCTTATTTGGGAGAATCTGAGCAAGTCTAAGAAGGATCAGGCACAAAAATGCTTTTATTCTGACTATTAGTAAACTAACACTAGCATCTTTCTATCTTGTCTCAGGATCCCAACCAGGCTCAGCTAATGTTCTTTATGTCCTTTGATGAGGGGTGGCGTTCATTTTCAGTTCTTTGATGAGCTAAGCTTCTGCCTAATAATAGTATCTTTTAAGGTCTTGTAGCATAATTCCTCCTTGTTTGATCATTTGTCTTAAAACAGCTCTGGCTGGTTGGGTCTGTCTAACAGTATACTTTTCTTTTTCTTTATTTAAATTATTTTTAAATCTTCTGAGACTTTCACATGAGTACTGAATTTGCAACATTTCTACAACACCCTCTCCCTATTCTAGCTTCTACTGTATCTGATCCCTTCTGCCTCTCAAATTCATGATCTCTTCCCTAAGTAACCCTGAGTCTATTTGGTGTTGCCTGTATGTATGTGTTCTTAGAGCTCCCCAGTTGGATTGGATAACCAACCAATGGGCCTCATCCTTGGAGAAGACCTTATCTTCCTCTCTCAACAGCAATTGATTTCCTGTAACTCTTTGCCTGTGGAGGAGGTCTTTGACCAAGATCTCTGTTTGGAAAAAGTATTTTCTTTGTTTTCCAGGGTTATATACCATTGAAATCTTGAGATAGTTTCCAAAACAAGAGCTGTATAAAGACAACACTAGTATAAATGCAAACATGGATGGAGATAATTCTCACAACTGCTCATTTTTCAAATTACAGAGATTATAGTTTAATTACATTTCTCTTTCCATTCCACTCTCTATACCCTCAAACATAACTGTTCCTACTTACCTTTGAAATCACAGCTCATTATTCACTAATTAAATTGTTAAGTCTATATTATACCACCCGTATGTATGTGTTCAGGGTTTATAATTTCTTAATAGAAAAATAACTTTCTAAAAGTTTGTTGTCTATATAGATGACCAGTTCTTAATAGGAAGTAATTTCAAACACAGTGTTTTATTAATAGTTACCTGTTTAAACTTCTTCTATAATTCTTAATAGGAACTCATTTCAAACATAGTTTTATATTAGTAATTGCCTGTTTAAAACTTCCTCTATTCAAATATCAGTTTTGTCAGGAAACTTGATATACAACTTGCATTTGAAATAATGGTATGCATTGGTTTGACTATTTGTGATTGTTCTTGTTTAATGCCAGTACAAAGCAAAAGTAAAAATAAGGACAAGAAAATTGTACTTCAAACTGTACATTGTAGTATATTAACTCAGTAAACATTTAAAAATCATTTATACCAACTATTAGGAGTAAGATTATATTTCATTTTCTTTAATATTCTATTGCATAAAATAAATTACTTCTTTAAAGAAAAAGTTAGATTTTGGAAACACTCTGCATTTGGAATATTTCCTATTCCAGTGCAAAATTTCCTTAAGCATTGCTACTTAAGGAAAACTTCTGATTTCATGTACAAATGATCACATTTTTTTGTATCATAAGAAGCATTTCTACAAAAGAGTAATATTGTCATCATTAATATGAGGTGTTCTAATAATTAAGCAGTATGATACAATTAGTCATCAAAATTAAATGGTATTTTTAAACCAATAGGACATGCTAACTTTCTGGGTTAATTTATTATTTTCAATAATGAATAATTCTTCAATTACTGCAGATAAAAAAGTTAATAATATTTCCCCTATGGTATATGTATATATATAATCACAAAAAGAATGATGAAATTGCCAATTATTGTAAACCTAAAAACAACTTTATTATTAGAGCAGAAAATGTAGTATTATTGAATCTTGTTTTCCCCATCAATTCAGCAAAAATAAA